ACAACTGCTCATGACATACTTTTTCGTTCAGAGCTGCCCTGACATTAGAGCTAAACTTAAAAATTTGGAGAAAGGACCCCTAACTCCACAGGATGAGGCCCTAAGAGTGGAGTTTAAGGTATGCCATGGGAGAGATAACCAGACCCTTAAGCACAGATACCAGATGCTAGCTGAAGCCGTCTGACTGGACTCAGCATCTGCCCGGGATCCCTTGCCCTCTGGGGCCAGAGTACCGCAGCGTCCATGCTTCAAGTGTGGTCAGAAAGGACACTGGGCCCGGGGTTGCCCGAACCCCCATGCACCAAGCAAGCCATGTCCTAGATGCCAGGAAGTAGGCCATTGGTCAGTGGTCTGTCCCCGTGTCCCAGGTGACAAGAGGACATCAAACACAGACGGCCTTCCAGTTGATCTCTTAGCCCTGGCTATGGATGAGGACTATGAATGACAGGGCCCAGGCTCTCTTGACCCTCCAGTCGATCTCTTAGCTCTGGCTGTAGATGAGGACTATGAATGACGGGACCCTGGCTCCCTTGACCCGACCACCATCATCTCTGAAAGGGAGCCCCGGGTGGACATTAAAGTATCAGGGCAGTCTATCTCTTTCCTTTTGGTCACCGGTGCCACATACTCAGTCCTAAAGGAGTTTTGGGGACCCACCTCTCTGTCTCGTCTTCCTATTGTCAGGGGAGGAGGACAGCCTTACTTACCTCAGCGGACTCCACCGCTTAGCTGTATTTTTAGGGGAATTCCCCTTACTCATTCATTTTTGGTTATACCGACTTGTCTGGTGCCTTTACTAGGGAGGGACCTTCTAGCTAAGGTAGGAGCTTCTATTTCTTTTGCTCCCCACATTCGCCCAACTCCAGACTCGCCAGCGGCTCCCCTCCTCCTCCTCCTAGCTACTCACCCTACAGGTTCCAGTACGTCATTTCCTTTACCAGCCTCTCAGGTAGACCCCAAGGTCTACCAGAACCCTTCTGTGGCTAGACACCATCCCCCCTTGTCATTCAGTTACAGGACCCCTCTAGGTACGTTGCTCAAGTTCAGTACCCACTCCCACTCCAGAGCCTTAAGGGACTTAAACCTATTATCTCTGACCTCCTAAGG